TAAATACCTTCCAGGCTATGCAGCCTGGTGCTTTCTTTGAAAACCTAGAAGGTCAGTGACTGCTGGGTCTTCCTCCCTCAGATGAACCCAGGGGGATGTACAGAGCCATAACTGCACTGACAAGTGAGAACTGCCCTCCCTTTTTACCTCTCCTCTGTTTTTTGGAGTTTGACAATAATAAGCATACAAGGAATTGCTGGATTTGTGTTCTCACAGAAGTAACTGTGCATGTTATAAAAACCTGAAGCAGAAATTGGGCTTTTTGAGCCCATGTATGTGATTGTAGGGAAAGGAGATGGTTGTGCCCACCTGCCCTGCTTGGCGCAGGGAAGCTCCATCCTTGAAAGAGCAGGCTGAACAGCCACCAGCAAAGCATCCCACTATCCCACTGGGCTGTCTCTGTGCAGTACTGCAACCGCTGCTCACTGCAGCTCAGCTCCGGGCCACTGCACCCTGTGAAGCCCAACCTCCTGATGGCAACTGCTGTGCCCAGGCTCAGCAGTGTGCCGGCTAGCTCAGCTTCCCAGCTTCACCTCCAGCCCTGCTGCCTGCAGGCACACTGTGTTGCACATTGCCCATTGGCACTAGGAGAACGGGCCAGAGTTCCCCACTGCTCCATGAGGCTCAGGCCCAGCCAAGGAGGATGCAGGAGCCTGGTGCTGGGCTGCTGGCACAGGCTGAAGCACGTGAGCACGGTGGTGTCCACCAGAGCTGCAGAGGGAAGCCACAACAGCAGAGGGTTGTTGCAGGCTGGAATGAAGATGCGTCTGCAGTCATGTGTGGGGTGCCCACGGCCCATGGCACAGTCATGGCTGTGGCTCCCCACCCTCCACCACCTGCAGCATCGCTCAGTACAGGGGTGCAGCAGCTCTGTGCCAGAGGTTGGCAACCTGCAAGCAGCGGTGCACAGCTCTGCAGCCGCGCTAAGTCACTCTGCTCCGGGCAGCCCCTGTACCTTCTATTTCCTGGAAAGCAGTTTTTCTTTGATACTGAGAAAAGCCCTGCTCTTGGAGGGGAAGGAGGGGCCTGGCCACCACTTCATGCAGAGGGGCCACTACTTGTGCTAACTTTTCTCAGGAGAGTTGATCTAATACATTCTCCGCTCACTCTAAACCACAGAAAGGTGGCTTTGTTTGTTGTTTTGGGCTGTTTTTCCTGGGGGGAGCAGATTAAGGGGGCTGGGGGATTTTTGTGTGTTGGTTTTGTCCTCCTGGCTTTCTCCTTTTGTGTTGTTGTTGGTTTGTTGTTGTTTTTTTTGTTTGTTTGTTTTTTTAAATTCTTAACATTTTGATGTTAGCACCTCCTAAAAGGAGACTTCTAAGAAGTTATGAGAGGAACCATCTAGAAAGGGGAGGAAGGGTCAAAAGGGAAAAACCACCTAAGACTGTATGCAGTCAAAGATTGTACTTTTTGTACTGTTTGCAGGCTGGAGTCGCAGCACACAAGAAGATCATGGCAGTCATTCTCTACCCACCCCCCAAGCATCCTTTCAGCCTTCTCTCTGTACTAGATCTCCTGCACTGCCTGCATCACCTCTCATGCCAGGTACCCAGGCCTGCCCATGCTTTCTTTTCTCCCTTCCCATTTGATTACCTGTCAGGTATCCCCCAGCTTATGTCTGAGCCACTCTGATCACTTCATGTCCAGGGCAGTTTCATCTCCCACTCAAATCCCATCCCAAAGCCAGTGTGCGCACCAGTGGGTGACAACACGTTTGGGTCTGGCTGGGGGACCAATAAGGCACTGAGCCCCTAATAATCATCTGGAGTCACTCGTCATCTGCAGGTGATGCTCCAGCCCCTGCTGAACTTCCACTCACAGGCTTGCTGGCTGAAGGGCAAAGCAGTACTGACACAGCTAAGGTGATCACCCATCTTCCCTCCACCATGACCTCTATGGATCTCCTTTTGCTTTTCTGTACCTCTCTTCATTTCTTCTGCAGATTTTCAGTGCTTCATTCTCTCCACCTCAGTTCTTTCCCTCACTGCATTACCTTCTTCCTTCCTATGGGTCAATGCATACCTTTTGCTTTTCCAGAAAATCATCTTTATTTAGCAGTTTCCAATGACCTGCCCCCAAATACCTTTCTTCTTCCCACACCTCCCAAACTGATAGGAGCAAATAGGCAGCTCATGGCTCTTTCTACCTTGCTCAGACCATAAGGAATTCACATGCTGAGAAGGAGAAAAGCTGTTTAGGCTGTTGGATATCCACATCTTTGAACTTACCAAAGACTTTGGGTTGGCTGAAGAACGAGCAGAGAAATTCCACACAGCAGAACTATGATCCAAAGATAGGATAACTTCAGACCTACTGCCCTCAGCAGTTGGACTTCAGACAAATCTATTTGGAAATGGTTCATTCCGTTGACAGCTCTATCAATTAATGTTTTCATATTTATGTTTTTCAAAGGTTTAGTATCAGGGATAGTGAGGGTCTATGTATCCTTAAGCAGAGGAAAATATCAGGGGTAGGATAAAACTTTTAAGAACAAATCCTGGCCTCTTCTTGGGAGCTATTCCTCTCCACGCAGTCCGCAGCATCCTGGGCATCAAAGAAACCCTGTCTTTAGGATGGATCCAGCTTTCTCCAGATATGTACCAGTGTGCAGTGTTCAAAGTGAGTTGCTCATGCCAGGGCCATTAGCCTGCCCACATCCCCACTGTCATTACGCAGAGCCTTCCAGGTGGGTAGCTGTATGCTGAAAGCAGTTGGGAGGAAAAACAACATCTGTCCAATGGGGAGAGCATGGGGAGTCTTTTGGTTCTAGGGAATTTACTTGTATTCTTTTTTTCTTAAGAGAACTCACTTAAAGGCAGGGTTTGTTTTTCACCTAGAACACATCCAGGCTTGGTTTCAGGCTAGCAGGGAAGAAATGCAGCTGAGCATGGTTTAGTAGCCATCTCCTGCTTTGTGTCACAAGTGACTAAGCTACTTCAGCATCCTTGTGTTTTCCACCTATAAGGAAGCCACCTCAGATGTACCTTGATCCTGAACACGTTCTGGGCACTGTGAGTCAAGTCTGAGCTTTGGAAAACTGTGGTCAATGGTGCCATCATGATGTGTCTGACCAGCTTTTATTGCTGAAGGGGATTGCTGCAATGCACTTCAGCTCTAAGTGCTGAGAGGTCACGGTCTCAAGTGAATAGCAACCTTCCAATATCTGAGGGGGACCTACAGGGGTGCTGGAGAGGGACCCTTCATCAGGGACTGTAGCAATAGGACAAAGGGGACTGGATTTAAATTTAAACAGGGGAAGTTCAGGTTAGATACAAGGAAGAAGTTTTTTACTGTAAGGGTGGTGAGGCACTGGAACAGGTTGCCCAAAGACATGGTAAACACTCCATCCCTGGCAGTGTTAAAAGCCAGGCTGGACAGAGCCTTGGGCAACATGGTCTAGTGGAAGGTGTCCCTGCCCATGGCAGGGGGTTGAAACTGGATGTTTTTAAGGCCCTTTCCAACCCAAACCATTCTATGATTCTATGATTAAAAGAGAGAAGAACGAGACCCACAGTCTCCAAGCAATAAGGCTGGCTGTTACTTTCTTGCAGGCAGTGAAGATTAAAAGACAGAATGAAACTAATCCATTTAATAATGTTAAGGCAAGGTGGCTGGTAGAGTCTATGAAGTCACCCAATAAATGCTATAAATACCCACAGAGGGAAACGGGCTCCCTACTAGGCAACTGTAAAGCAAACCACAGGATATTTTTGAAGCTGCCATCCAAAAATACAAAGAAAAGTGTGACAAGCCTACTTAAAAGCCAAAAATGGAACAGATGAGCACTTCATCTCTGCTGTGATTTAGGGCTCCAGCAGCAGGTCCTCCCACTGAAGCCTCCCCGAAAAAAACAACCAAACACGAAGTGCTTTGCCCAGACTCTTATGGAAGTTCAGAAATTCTTCTGTGGTCAGCAGCATCCTCATGCTTGGTTGAACGTCTCAATACTCAGTGGAACTTCTGGCAAGGCTGCAGATCAGACTCAGTGGTGTGTTTCTGACTGCTTCGTGATCCCTAGCAATGCAAAGCAGCTGTAAAGCTCTTTTAGTCAGCTGCTCAACCCAGAGTTACAGCTGCTTTGCATCACTAGGCTGGTACACAGCAGGCAGAGCATGTCTGTGTTTGGGGTTTGCATACAGATTTCCAATAGGGCAATTCACCTGGCACGCACGCACCAGGGAAAGCATGTAGCAGACTCAGCGAGGTCTGGAGAAAGTATGTAGGTGAATGATAGCTCCAACGGTGCAACCAAGCCTAAATGCAGGCTTGGTCTTTAAAAAGTTGCAGTTTGCACTGAATTACAAAGTTTGTATTTTCTCCTATTACATCTGCTCACTCTGTATGCACCGTGTGCTGCACTATTTGTATTTTACATCATAACATTTTTGTGTGTTTTCCTGTTTTTTTTTCCTGTGATTTCCAGCATTCTCATTTGATCCACCAAGCGTGCCTTACGCTGCTGCACTCCCTGTGCTGCGAGGGTGCCCGCTGCCCTTCTGGGGACTCCTGCAGTGTCCCAGAGGAGTTGGGAGAACCGCAGCAGTGAAGGCCGGGACAGCCTCCTCGTTTTCCGCTGCTGTGAAGGGTCCTCGTTCTTCGGCTCTGCTGCCCCGGGCCGTGCACAACCCCCGGCGCCCCCCGCAAGTGCTTCCAAGCCCTGGGCACTGCACCCCCTCCCCGCCGCTTCCCACCTCCGGTGCCGTGTCGGAGGGCAGCAGAGAGGCACTGGGAGGAGGGGTCGAGCCCGGGTTCGCGCTGCCGCCGTTGGGGCCGTCTGCCGCCTTCCCGGCGGGTCCCGCGGGATGCTGTGATACCGTCCCTGTGGAGCTCCTCTGCCCGTCTGCCGCGAAGAGGCTTTCACAGCCTCTTTGTTTTAATTATTTATTTTTCTTTCCCTAAATCCATCCAACTTTTCTTTAAAAACGAAAAAGAGAAAACTTTTTTCTTCTTTACTTCCCCCCCCTCCGCGAGAGCCACTCTGTGGAAAGACGGGGTGGTGGTGGTGGAGGAGGGAGAAACCCCTCCCCTTCCCCTCCCCCGTGGCTCCTTCCTCGGAAAAGACACACTTGGGGGGTTTCCTCCCCTCCTCTTCTTTCTGCTCCCCTCCCCTCCGCTCCGCTCCGCTCCGCTCCCCGGAGCCGCAAGCCGCCGCCACCGCGGCGCCCGCCCCGCTGCTGAGGAGGGCCCGGGGGCAGCCGCGCCGCCACCCCTCCTCCCGGTAAGCCGCGCACCGGCCCCTTTGTGAGTTGAGGGGCCGGGGGGGATGCGGAGCGCGGCGGCGCCGGGCGGCGGGGATCGGAGCCGCCTCGGTTTCGCTTCGGGGTGGGAGAGCAGCGGCGGGGGCAGGGCCGGGCAGCGCCGTTGTCGCCCCGGCGCTGAGGCGCTCGCTCGCACCGGCAGTCCCGGAGGTGCCGAGAGTAAGTTGTGCGGCGTTAACCGAAACCGGCCTTTTGGAGTGGGGGGTGTGGAGGTGTCGTCTGCCTGCCTGCCTGTCTTCTTCGGACCCCCTTTGGCGTCTTAGAACGGCGGGAGCTGCTATTTGGCACCGGGGGTGTTGGGGCTGGCAGGGGGAGACGGAACGTGGTGGGGTTTGGGGTGCTTTCCCCCGTGGTGGGGGGTGTCAGGAGAGGATTCGTGGTGCTGGCAATTCACTGCCGGCCCTGAAGGGAGCCATGTGGCTTGCTGGGGTGGCTGTGGGGTGCTGGGAGCAGCCTGGGAGGCTCCGACGGGCTTGGGGCTTTTGCCGCCGTCAAGGTGTTCTCCACAGCATCAGGGCAAGGGAGATGCTTGTTTTATAGTGAAACCCGCTAATTATGTAATGTCTCGGGTGGGTCTGTAGGGAGGCAGCCGCACAGGACCAGGGAGGGGGGATCCTGGTCTCCATGCCACTTTACTCTTCACGGAAACCACGGGTGAAGTGGTGTGCAGGGTGTTAAACTTACTCTTAGCTGGAAAAGCGAGCTGTCTGCCAGAACCAAAGGCGTTACAGGGAAACGGGGTAACTGTGAACCCGGAGCATACGCGCCCGTTGGGGTTGTCCTTGAAAGGCAGAGGAACTTGCCACCCTCCAGACGTGGCACAGTCAGAACGCAGCCTCGCACCTGCCTTTTCTCAGAAGACCGGTGCTGTGCGCCCATGAAGAGCCTTGCAGGCAAAGGTTATCACTTGAAACCTCCTTGATGCAATCTGAGTCATGGTGCTTGCAGCCATGCAGGATCCGCTACTCATTTCTTCCCACAAACACACATGCTCTTACTGAGAAGTTTGGAATAGTTACCACCTAAAACCTCAGCTTGTGCTCCTCTTATGATCTTCCCCCCTGCTTTTCTTAGTGTGTGTATTCCTTCCTGTTCAGTAGAAGCTTGGCAACAGGTTCTGGATGAACCCTGGAGGTAACTGAAAGGAACTCAAGAATGTTAAATTCATGTCCCTGGGTTTTTACTTCCCTGGATGGGTGAAGGAGGGGGATGTGGCTTGACCATTGTTCTGTAAAGTTGAGGGCAAAGAGTATTGTTAGCAAACTGCTATTTAGGACTGTGTGGTCCAGACAGTGCTGTTTGCTAGATCTAGTCCTTGCAGCTCTCAGAGAACTTAAATGAAAACCCCAATCACATGCTGACCGTGCTCAGCTCTGTAAAATGGGGTGGAATCAGAAATAACTAGTTTCCTGATGCTTCATTCTCTGTTGACTGTACCCTTAAGAGGGTATGCAGGCATATCTTCTTTCTCCAAACAGCTGGGACTGCAGTTCAGATGCTGTGTGAACATCAAATAACTCATTCAGTCACAGCAGGGCTACGGTCATGTGCTTAAAAATTATGCACATCCACAGAAGTTTGTGGGACTGAGGCTCTATTATCACATAATGTTGGTCTTGATTGAATCAAATTACAACGAGATGTGGCCCGTTGCTGCAGATGAAGCCAAGCTTTGTTTCTGTGTTCATGAGCGATTCTGCTGGGTATGTGATTTAAAATGTAGTTGCTGAAGTAGGGATTCTTGTCCCCTCCAGAGTGGAAGGCTCTTGGGCACAAATCCATGGGATTATTGGGATGCCAACTTCCCACACAGGTTCCCATCTTTTCCTGAGCTAGACTAAAATCTGGGCCTTTATTTTTTCTGTGCTCCTTGTTATGGTTCGGTATGTTACATGTCCTTGAATAACCTGGCTTATCACGTACTTAAGTGTAGTGGGGTTGAGAGGCGACACGTTGGAAGGCACAAGTAAACGGTGCGGGGTGCCGAAAAGCAGGCATAGAGGAGCACCAGGGAAAGGCTGAGCTTCTGCACATCCTCCCAGGTGGGTGTCCCTGTTCCTGCCCTGCCTGCTCAGATAAGGCCAAATTCAGTTTCCCGATGACAGCTTCAGACATGCAGCCAGTGCCTCTCACCCTCAGTCCAACTGGGATTTCTGTGAAGTTGGTGGTCGGTTTGCGCAAGGGTAGAGCTGTAGTTGGGTGGTGCAGATTCTTAGTTGCTGCCACTAATGCTGTGGTTGCATTGCTGAGAAACAAAGGAGAAAATGTGCCTTTGGAGCTGTGTTTCTTCCCTTGCTCCTCTTTCTCTCCATCCCCACTGGGGATGTTTTGTTCTTTCCTCTTAGTCTTCCCCTGTAACTCCTCACCACCCCCATCTTCCCCTACCACCCACAGGCTTCTCTCCCCTGGTTTCTCCTACCTTAGTTTGGTCAGCAATAAACAGATAATGCTATTACTTAAATATGACATGATTTGGGTCGGGTTGACACTGTGGTTAGATTAATAAAGCTGTGGGGAGGTGGGATGTTCATGAGCCATTACTCCAGGTTGCTGCAGACCTTGGCTAGTGATGCTTGCCAAAAACTCCCAAGCCAGTTGAGTTGCATCTCTTTCTGTAAATGAAAACGTGGATGGTCCAAACAAAAGCTGAGTGTGTCATACAGGGGTGATATCTTTATACAAAATAAAGGTATGAAGCGTGTGTGTCATTAGGAGGCATCATACATCATATATTTATTTAAAATAATGCAGCTAAATGGTGCATGAATTAGATCCTTGATTACATGTAAGTAGAGGCAGAAAGCAGGCGTGATATCAACTTACTCCCTTCTGTACTGTCAGTCTACACTACTGCCTGCTTTTCTGGTTTGCACTTGTGCATATCCTGTAGCCTTCTGCCTCAGTGAGGTATTTATTATCTCATCCGTTTGCTGAAATCAGTTTCAGACCCTTAAAGAAAACCCTAGGAAGTGCAGTGGTGTTTGATATAGCAGGATTTGGTGGCTTTGTGTTAGTGAGTGGTCAAAATGACTCGAGCAAAATTCACCCCATCCACCCCACCCCGACCAAGCACAAGATTGCAAGTTAAGATTTAGAAGCAAGAGGTACAGAAAGTCCTACTTTTTAAGCTTCTGGGAATCTGCTTGTGTTCGATAGGTGTTTAATAATATAAAAATGTCAATTCAGTTTTAGTAAAGTCGCTAAATGCTGGTTTTGTGTTGCCTTTGGAGACCGTAGAGCTGCCCCCTTATTTTCATCCTCTTCAGTGGAGAAATGAAAAGGCCTGTGTGCACTTCACAGGAAGTGAGTGTCTGATACAGGCTTGCAGGCTGCACATTTCCAAGAACTGCTCTCAAGGTATTTTGATAATGCACATTCTCTCTGCCTTCTCCCTTCCTGCACCCCATGCGCTTTCTGTGCTTCTGCTTGTTCACAAACACATGCAAAGAGTCAAAGGGTGCCAATATTAAATTTGCAAATAGGTTGCTTCAGCTTTATGTTGTGGCTGGCAAAACTGGGTTAAGCTGGCAGCCCTCAGTTGCCTTTGTTGCAGAGACTTTTTGTCCTCCCCCTTGCTCCCTGCAAATGCTGAAGACGAGTTTTGACTTCAGATTGTGACTTGTGCAACAGGCGTTTTTGTGTGTGTGTGATTCTGCAGTTCAGAAACAGTTTGGATGCACTTTCATACTTCCTCAGTAGCAAAGTTTATTTGGAAACTTAGGCTAAGGCTGTCAGGGAAGGAAATAAGTGTGACTATTAGCAGTTGGAAAATGTCAAAGATCTCCATTCGTGTTCCTCCCATCTGAACTGCATAGCTGGGCTTCTCCACAGCTTACTGAAGGTGCCTTGCTAAAGCTGAGAAGGGTTCAGCATAGGTTTACCTAAGTTGGCATGCTAGTGATGATGTGCAGATGCCCTTAGGAATGATTTGAACATGCTTTTCCACAGACCAACAACATTGTTCTTCATCCATGTTTTGAGTTCTTCCTTGTCTTCTGGTGAGGTTTTGGGGGTGTGGAGGGAGGGAAGCCAGGGCTGGAGAAGCGTTCCTCAGTCTGGCCTGCTAGAAGTTATGTTTGTCCTCCGAGGCCCAGCTAAGTGACACAATGGACCAAGAGCCCACCCAAGGGGAAGCCGGGACAGAGGGAGTGTCTAACTTCCTTGCCACAGCCATTTCTGGTTCTGAGCTGCTTTAGCAGTAATCAGCTGAAATCTCCCATGTGTGTAGGATGTGCACCAGTATTGAAGTCAGCACATCCAAGTGAGAGGTGATACTCTTTTTAGTCCTTAAAGAAATAAGGGGAAAATGGGCTGAGCTGCTTTAGCTATTCTGTAGCAAGTCCACAGCTGATTCCTCACAGTGACTTTATATACCCTTGTTTAGTTCTTCAGTTTTGCATGACTAAAGGACGTTTATGCCTTGTGAGGGACTCCCCTTAGTCTGATGTAAAGTCTGAATGGTTAAGAGGTAGCTTTAAAAGGTGATGCTAAAAACCCCAACCTTTTGCTGCTGGATTTCTCTGCCTAGGGTCGCTAAAGCATAGTGTGTTGGGTACTTTACAGAACCAAAGCAGAGAGAAAGGAATGAGACTGTCAGATCAGCTCTCTCACTTTCCTCAGCAGCATCATTTTAAAGTCTATGTGATCGGAGTTTTTCCTTTTATGAGTTTTTAATTAGTTACTTTTCAATCTCAGTCACCTTTGAACTTCCTCTCTTCTAGTTTTATGCAAGAGCATAAAAAGAACGGCTCGATTGTACTGTGTCTTTCTCTTGCATCCCCTTGTATCTGTCTGCTGTCTGAACTGAGCATGAAGTTTCTCCAGTCTCAACACTTACATCTGACTTATCACCCATCTTTAGGCCCATCCCAGTTGTTTCAGCTCTATCTGCTTTTATTTAAGGTGACTGGAACTCAATGCATTCTCGCAGGTGGTGACATTACTGTTACATTCCCACCCA